TCATTGGCAGAGAARCACTATTTCAAGATTTTTCCTTTATCTGTCATTGTTACCACATACCTAGTTCGACAGAACATTCTAGAAAGTAAACGTGATCGAAAATGACAGTTTGCAATTCACTAGTTTCATATCATAATAGGTAGAATAAATGTCCGGATCRCTCTGTAAAAATAACTTACACGATAGAGCCGATAAAACCGAAATATTAAAGAGAGAAATAATAAATCCAAACACAAGGTCTGGTTATATGAATCAATCGTYTATACAAGTCTTTAATTAAGAGCAAGCGAAGAATACGCTGACATATACTATTGATTTATTTCGACAGCCATCAGTTGAAACTGTTCCCTATGAAGAATTATTAGAGCCAATGTAATTTTCTCAGTGAAAATGATTCCAATAGCTTATAGATAAATACTACAAAGGAATCACTAACGATTAAAGAAAGGTTGGCGGTTATCAAATGGCAGAGTAAAAACTGAAAAAAAAAGCTACAGCCGACTACAGTAAAGGTTTGATAAAAGTGAACTTTATTTCAAGAAATGATTCGTTTTCCTGCAATGAAAACAAATATTGCAAGCGTACGAACAAAAAGATGTTGAGAGAGAAAAGTGTCAAAATTAATACGAACTAGAGTAAATTAACGTTTCAAACAAATTCTATACAACACAGAGGCASACAATTATCGAAATATCGAAAATTATAGAACAATATATAATGATATATACACATTTCAGCTCAAAAAACRAYCTTAACTTACCCAACGTCATGGAAAACCAGCWCAGCAGAATAAGAATGTGACACAGTTTTGAGATTCCATTTGTCGCCACTGGCGAACTTTTCAAGAACGGTATTTTTAACATTTTCACATCGGAAAACTTTCAGAAGAAAGTTCAGGTTAAAGTTTCAAGATGCATATCACTTGGGAAATCATTGAGATGCATAGYTTTTTAGCTGTAAAGTTTGGTTAATAGGAGKACAAGGTTCCCATAAATGTCAGTATAGTGTATTCTGATTAATTGACCACTAGCTTAACCAGTCACCACTATGTTTGCATTGCTATCGATTAACGATGCACAGAATTGTATATTTTAGCTGATATTTACTTTATAGATCTAATAATAAAGGACCAGAAGACAGCAYACAAAATATTACACACTATGTGTTCTCGTGTGTCCACACAAGGCCGGGAAGAAAGCCAATTGCTATCACTTTCTCAGCCAAAAGCGTGATGATTACCATCGCTCAACTCGACATTGCGAAAAGGCTTAGATGAGTTTACACAAGATGGCAAATGTCACAAAATCACTAACATTTGCTTGAGTGAAGCGTGGGAACATAAAATAGTTTCAAATCGATCACAAAAAAATGGGTCTAAAGGCTATTAAATAGCGAAGACGAAGAAATGAGGGGAGTTTTGATCGGATAATTGATATTAGGAAACACTGTATATAATTTCTTCAATCTAGTTTTAATAGTATTGTAAATAGTTCTATAATTTAACATTTTTCTAATTCAAAAGAACTTGATAAACGTAATGCTAATTTAAAAAAAAGTTTATAGAAACACGTTTGAGAGTTTGAGCTTGTCATATTCGGTCTTTGCAAACGTTTCACTAGGTTTGAATTTATAAGAAGGCACTGTTCTCAATTTAGTTTTCTTGAGCAAAACAATATGAATTTATACAATTGATAATTAAACATTTTTCACGATGGTCGTCAATCCGCAAAGTCAGTGTCCAATTAAGAAAAACAATGACACTCTTGAGTTTTGCAGACAGGATGCTTCAGAAGTGTTTATGTCAAATGATTCGGTTCAATGGTATTTTAGATTGCGTTGCATTCCGCCCCTTGCAGGTCTTTCGCAACCAATTCGAATATAATATTACTCAAAATTTTAGTGCAAATCGCAGCGATTTTCATATGATCTTTGTATATGAAATCACCGTGAATTTGCACTGTTTACACGTGCGATCAGTCAAATCGCCAATCACATCGTGCGACAAAATTTCCAGTGTATAAACTAGCCTTTATGGAGTGAAAGATSGAAATCTGAGTACGAGAATAATTCGCCTTTTATAAAGGTACTGGTTTTAGCTGATACTATACTCAAATATGATTATTTTCAAAAAAGGAATCACTTCACTATCTACCTGTTGGAATCTTTCATCTTTTTAATACAACCAGCTACTTTCCCTGGAAAAGAAAACCAGGAATTAAATCGAGACTACTGCGACAATACTGGAGACGTATGGGGATAAATATGTAAAAAAGTCCTGTAACTTTTTTGATATGGCATTAAAATTCCCACAAGACATCGTAAATTTATGAAAATTGACATGGTAGTGCAAAAACAAACAAACAAAAAAAAAAACAAACAAAACAAAAGAACAAGAAACAAAAGCAAACCAAAAATGGACATAGAATGTTTGTAATACGATAAAATATCAAAACKCAGGATAGCATTGGGTTTGTAAAATGTTGAATCGCAGGATATCAGGTGTAAATAAAACAAATGTTCGATAACAAMGAGAATATCGTGTTTGTTAGCTCAGTCTTGTCTACCTTTCAAATCATCCTTTTTTAATTGTTTTTTGGTGAGATTAGATTTACATGTTCCCTATCAAAATGGCCGCCGTGTCGTCGACAAAGCCATTGATATTCACTTACCTCCTGAACGTTTTCAAAAGCATTGACMAAACACTTGGTGACAAGCAGGAAGGACAGACAATACAGACTGYCAATGCTGAATCTCAACGGCGTGATATACAGGCAAACAGACAKATTACCAATTGAGAGATAGACCCAAGGTTTAGTTATTCTGTTATCATTTTTATTGTTAGTACTGCAGCATTGTTTTACGCGCAGATTAATAGAATCTGCTTGATTACGAGGTCCGGCCAAAATCACAACTATTAGTATAAACATACTAATGGTCTATCACTCATACTKCRCKGTGATTGGCTACTCTACTAATGGTCTAATTTGTGATAGACCACTCGCGGGAAAATCAATCTCGTTAATAAATTATTTTAAGGATATTTCAATTTGCTTTCATGATTTGACCGATTAGTATGTTTATACTAAAACAATTAGACCTCTCGGCCTCGTTGACTACGAGCTAATAGCCCATTCGGCCTCGCGGACTTGGCCTCATGGGCTATTAGCTCGTAGTCCACTCGACCTCGAGGTCTAATTGTTAATTAGACGTCGATATACGTAATTGCCCTCTCGCACAATGACGTCACAGCAGTTTACCGTGGGAATAAATGCCAAGAAACAGTGGAAGTTTGGACCTATTAATATATTCACTCTCAATAGACCTTTTGCATGAAACGGTCACATGGTAGTAAATCCGCCAAAATGGATGGAAAAAGAATGTAAACCTCAAAAACAAAAGGAAAGCAGCCCGTCAAGCTTGACTTTTCTTCTTTACTTTGTTTTGAACATCCCAGTGGGAACTGCACTCTCCAGTATGGCTGATTTAGTACCATTTGAGCGTTTCATGCAAAAGACCTATTATTGTATCTAGTTTTGATAAATACTAAGGATCAATCATTGCTTCGGTGCAACTTTTTGTTGTGACGTTATTATGCCATTGGTCTATTCAATCACATTTGTAGTTTTGATTTAGAATTCTTAGCTTGATTTCCCGATGGGTCTGAGTCTAATGTTAACGATTTCTTCTCCGATCTCCATCTGATGAATATCTCTCTCTTTAGTGTGTGTTTTCTCAGAGACCAATCAGTGCGTGCGTTATATTGTATATATATCTGTCTTAAATGTGTGTTTTCTCAGAGACCAATCAGTGCGTGCGTTATATTGTATATAGAGCGGATTTCGTATGAGTGGGAAACGGACGGTACTGTACTGTGTCCGTAATCGTACTGTAACCAAATTTTAGTGCCCCATTGTTCCACCAAAATTCTGCAGGCCAGGTGCGGTAACTGTGCGGTAACGGTGTCCCACTCATACGAAATCCGCTCTATATCTCTGTCTTTAGTGTGCGTTTTCTCAGAGACCAATCAGTGCGTGCGTTATATTGTTTTCAAGAAGTGAGGTATATCAGGAATGTGCCCAAATGCAAAACAAACTCCTTCAAAATCAGATTCAGAACATCTAATGCATGTCGTTGTATAACAAGCATTTTCATTGGCCGTTGGCAAAAGAAGGTAAAGTGACGATACGGAAAATGTTGGAGGCAGTACCAATCAGATGGAGTTTAGGGATGAAAGCCTTAGTGTAGGACAAAGGGCCGTCTGAAAATCAGGCAATTGAATTTTCAGTAAACTAAATCTTGCGAACAACGTACAAATCTTACGTTTGTCTTATTTATAGGTGAAAGCGGGCAAAAACACATTGCAGACATCGTTGGATGCATGCATAGGGCGGACTAGCCCACTTCACTGGAATTAAGTACTTTGAAATGCTTTTATAAAATAACTTTCATATTACGCGCGCTCTGATTGGCCAAAAAGCCGTGTTTGATGAGAGCATAATACAGGCTCGCGTCATTTTTTTTCTCGGCTTTTTTTTCTCATGAATATTTGAGCGCTTATTTTATAAAAGCAATAAAAAACAGTTTTCCGTGTATTATACTCTGATAAAAACACGCGGGATGTGGGGAGAACACGAAAGAAGCGTAGGAAACCACGGCACGGAAAACTGTTTTTGCTCTCTTAAGGAATAGTATTCATTAATTAAAGAAGCTCTTAATAAATTACAAAGGAATCCCAAAGCATCCTACACAGAAAGATCTTCTATTATAATAAACATTTTGCAGTAAGAATTCGGTAAAGCATGCGGTAAAATGCTTGATCATATAATTATCTATAAAATACTTATATTTCTCCATTACTTTAAGTTGTTCGTGGTGTCTTTATATATTGGAGGTAAATAAAAGTATTTTAAAACATAATTTGATTTTATTGATAATTATATGATAAACAGAATATTACATGGTCGTTTGAAGTTACGAATTTTATCTTCTCGTGTTGAAAATCTATTGCCCATGTAATATCCTTTATTTTTCAGTATCAAAATGCGCAGTTGGAGGGCATTTTCCAGGCCCGGATCCATGTGTAACACCTATCACAGGTAGCCCTAATGAGCTATAAGTAAAGCGTTATTAGAAAAGATAAAAAATATTCGTATTAACGGCAGTTTTAATGAAATCTGTATTTACGAGCGGGTTTTAAGTTAACGTAAGTTTTTCTCTCGTCTTCACTTTCCTGTTTTTTGATCATGGARAACCGCTCGCCCTTCGTGCTGACGACCAGGTTGTCACGGTARCGAATCATCTTTTTTTCCTCCTGGAAACCACACGGCAAACAGTTAAGTTGTGGAAAAAACGTTCTGAACCAATCGTAAATCTACCCATTCTAATAAACATGATTTATCATATGATTATCAATAAAATACCTATCTTTCTCTCTTTCCAAAGATTGAAAACTAGTGAAAACAACACATTCGAGGTTTCTTTATATAGTGGAAGACAAAAGGTATTTTACGACATAATTTGCCCTCATTATATATGATAAACAGAATATTGCATAATCGCTTGGAGATGCGAAGTTTATCTTCTCTTGTTGAAATTCTCTGACTCGTTCGTTACGCTTTATCGTCTGAGAGATTTTTTTAACACTCGAAGATAAAATTCGTATCTCCGCGCGACCATGTAATATCCTCTATATATGTCAGAATTGAAGGTGGAAGAAGGATTTTTGACACCTCGTTGCCGATATAGCGCAAAAAAAGAATTGAAGATGGGACTCCTGTGAACAATAGTAAACAAATTGCGAACGACTTTGAGTTGTATGTCCTCTTATTGACGTCATAACATGTTCAAAACTCATGYAAGTGGATCTACGAGGACAGCCAATCAGCCATCGAGTAGTTATGTACAAAAGTGTGGTAAAAACATATTGTTCCCCGTAGCCTCGTCTACAGTTCTTTAACGCATTATTCCAGCAGGATATTGAAAGTTAGCTATCTGGTCTACGAGATGTAAAATCATTTCAATGAAAGCAATGATACCTTCTTAAGAAGTGATGGTTGGTACGTTTTACTGTCCGAATTTACATCCACAAAGCCATATCTAAAAAACATTAMCAAAGCATAGTATATTCATTTTTTCTAGCGCTTTGGTTAATGTAACGTTGAAGCAATACCAGAGCTTTTCTTGAGTTCAGGGAATTTTACAGGAAAGACCCAAGGTTTTAGTCGCAGAAGAAAAGGCTCATAATTATTCTGTAACATGCGTAACTCAAACAATGGTGTTTCTCCTGCAATGGAAGCTCGAACGTCAGAATCATTACCTGGACACCAGACCATTACAATTATCACTAACTGGACAACCTGCAATGACTATTTTTGCCTGAACACCCTACAGTAGGAAATATTTCTACCAGGACATCCTACAGTAGGAAACGCTATCTGGACATCAGCTCATCACCATATATTACCTGGACACGAGGTTATTCTTTATCTTGTCGTGGTCATGTTCGTTGATGTCTAATCGTTTACTACTGGGATGATGAGGCTATCGATAAATACTGACTGTCATTACTAGTACAACTGAATATATGAAATGGAAAACAACCCAGATATGTACATTATTAACCTCCTTCACAGCCATCACATAGAATCACGGGCTTCCTGTGCTTTTTGGGAGTTAATAGAGGGAGAATTGGGGCGAGAGAGGAGAATTTTTCCCGGGAGAATCTACGTAGCACTCAGTTGATGTAATATATTCATAAAGATATAATACAAAACACATAATACAATAGAACGAGAAACTATGGAATACAATACATTTTATGAATACAATTACATCAACTGCGTGCTACGTTGTGCTACGTAGGTCACCCCGAATTTTCCCTTTCTCGTCACTAGTCCATAACGGTCAAGACGACCGTTACAAAGGAAACCCAAAGGAGGAAAAAAGAGTTGCCTGAGGATGAGGTTAGGACTATCACAATCCCAGCATTCTGATTGACTACTAAACTATGCTCTGTTGATGTGATATTATTGTCGCAACAAGTAAAATGGTCAAAAAAATATAGGAAAGTTGTTCTTTTGATTATGCCAATAGAGCGGATTTCGTATGAGTGGGAAACGGACGGTACTGTACTGTGTCCGTAATCGTACTGTAACCAAATTCTAGTGCCCCATTGTTTCACCAAAATTCTGCAGGCCAGGTGCGGTAACTGTGCGGTAACCGTGCGGTAACGGTGTCCCACTCATACGAAATCCGCTCTATCGTGGATGTAAATCTGCTGTAATTTTCAGCATGCACAATACCTTTGGATTGGAATCCACCAAAGGATCACAAGATTCATCGTTATCTCTGCTCATTAACAT